GATATATAGATTGATTATATCCAATGGGAATGACACGCCTGCGTTGATGCAATGCCCAGAGATATTAATTTCTTGACAGTTTGCATGTAAGGGTTATGACTCCATCGTGTGACTAGGACCATAGCAAGGACTGTAGAACGATGTATTGCACAGGCTACAAGAGGAATCTGCATCGCACTCTTACAAACTATTCACAGTTATAAATTTAATGTGCTCAACCATGTAGGAGACTGTTTCCTACAGAATTAAAGCATCCAAGTACGTACTGTACAGGAGCACTCCATATGAATAAAATTAATCATTATTAAATAATATCATTAGAAATGCTGTAATATTAAATTATCCACTATGAATAAAAATACATATATATATATATATATATATATATATATATATAAAAACAAGAAACACACTTAAAAAAGATTCAAAAACACGTGGTGCAGAAGGGGTAAAAAAACACTTCTATCACTTACCTGATTCCAACACTGGGTTAGGCTGCGCCTCTGCTCCTCCCCCACCGACGTTAGCCGGTGGGGGGGGACCTAATGCACATGCAACTCTCGCATTTGTACTTTCCCAATTGGAAAGCATGTGTACAACTTTCCTATGAGGTTTTACATGTTGCTGGATGTCCTCATGCATAGCGTGAGGATGCCCAGTGTCACTTGGGTGGCCAAAAGTCGTCTAAAGACCCGGAAGTCCCTCTAGTTGTTGTCTGGTATACAGCCACTAGAGGTGGAGTTAACCCTCAAAGATAATTATTGTAGTTTATTAAAAACCTGCAATAATTACCTTTGCAGGGTTAGGGGACCTGGGACTCTGCACCCAGACCACTTTAATGAGCTGAAGTGGTCTGGGTGCCGATAGTGTCCCTTTAGAGATCAAAAACAGAGCTGCTACCCCCAGAACACTTCTGCAAACAACACTTGGCAAAGGCATTTTGCCAAAATGATGGAAGGTTCTATTTTTATCTCTGGTTGCGCTCTACTATCTCTTATTTGATCATTTAATTCACCTTTTTCTGGGATGTGAAATCCCATTGGTTTTGTGAGATTACAATGAATTTGATTAATAATGGTCGTCATGTTGGTAATTAGAATGATTTTAGGTAAGTAGTAGTACTAATTAGTAGTATTAGTAGTAATTGATTTTAGGTAAGTAGTAGTACTGATTAGTAGTAATAGATTTTAGGTAAGTAGTAGTACTAATTAGTAGTATTAGTAGTAATTGATTTTAGGTAAGTAGTAGTACTAATTAGTAGTATTAGTAGTAATTGATTTTAGGTAAGTAGTTGTACTAATTAGTAGTAATTGATTTTTAGGTAAGTACTACCAATTAATAGTAATAGATTTTAGGTAAGTAGTAGTACTGATTAGTAGTAATAGATTTTAGGTAAGTAGTACCAATTAGTAGTAATAGATTTTAGGTAAGTAGTAGTACTGATTAGTAGTAATAGATTTTAAGTAAGTAGTAGTTCTAATAAGTAGTATTAGTAGTAATTGATTTTAGGTAATTAGTTGTACTAATTAGTAGTGATTGATTTTTAGGTAAGTAGTACTGATTAGTAGTAATAGATTTTAGGTAAGTAGTACCAATTAGTAGTAATAGATTTTAGGTAAGTAGTAGTACTAATTGATTTTAGTTAGTGTGCAATTGGAAGAACACTCGCACACAGTTCTGACGTGAAGCGATGAAACATCATGCGGAGGATACTTTGAACACACACTCATACACACCACTAGCTCGTAGAAGGGATTAGCATGATGTACCAACAAGTAACATCTGATTCTCTTAAATAAAAAACAAAAAGGAAAGACCTGTTTATTCATATTATGGGAAGAAAATATGTGCTTTTATTTACTTGTGCTTGCATTTTGCATTCATATGTTTAAATGAATGCAATACAATTTGCAGCGACACTATATCATCAATAGTGAGCATATTTCCTTACATGTATGAGGATTCTGTTTCCCAAGATGCCTTTTAATATAGGATGGGACATATAAATGAAGCAGACATGTATGAGGAGTGGAACAAAATGTGGGAAGGGAAGAGCAATTCATCTCCATCCATATAGGACATCACAAAGTCCAGCACCTGAGGGTCAGAGAATATTGGCTTAATCCTGAAAATGCTGTACCTTATAATGCTAGGTGTTTCACCACTTCCTGGGTGACCAAGAAACATGCTACATTTCACTCAACTCTAAAAAAGGCATTTGGGAACATGCAAAAAATAAAACAAATATAGACAATTAGCTGCATGGTTCATTTGTTACATGCAGTCTAGGTACAAGTGTAATTCTTCGTACACACACAAGGATAGCACAGGAATGAGCGCAGACAATGCGATAATTGTTTGGAGATGGAGATCCCCAGAGATGGCTTGAGATAAAGACAAATGATGCAGGATACTAAGTGGTTTTTAACTATAAAAACATAAACTCTACTAAACAGAGACAATGGGAACACAGAGAACAGTAAGGTCGGAGCTCAGGCATCCACCATAAGACTCTGAGAGCATGCTCATCCAACATGAGATCGAGGGAGCATGTCCATACACCATGAGACTGTTAAATCATGTCCATCCACAATGAGATTGTGAGATCATGTCCATCCAACATTAGACTGTGAGATCATTCCCATCCACCATGAGACTGTGAGATCTCTGCATTTCTCTACTAAATATTTAGAAGATGCTATTGAAAATATGCCAGATGAATCGATCAAAGCCTGTACAACAAGCTGTCTCTTCGGTTATGGTGAGTATGCAAGAGACTTTAACAGAATCCTTTTCCCTATTTTATTCTAGACCAGGGGCGAGCAATCTGCAGCCCTCCAGATGTTTTGGACTTCATCTCCCTAGATGCTTTGCTAGCATTATGGCCTTAAGAGAATTATGGGAGATGTAGTTCAAAATATCTGAAGGGCAGCAGATTGCCCACCCCTGTTCTAGACAATGAAAAATCTAATTCAGTCTCTTCTTCAGAGAAATTTTGGTCAGTTGTTGAATCTGATAGATACTGTATGGATATTATTGTTCCTCATAAATATTCAGAGAAACAAAAAATATTAATGATGGTTCTTTATTCAAAAACATGGATAAGAAAATTTAAAGTTCTAAAAACCAAGACAACGATCCAAAGCAGACCCAGAAAGCTAAATCCAAGCCGACCCAGAAAATGTGCAAATTTTTTGCACACTAAACCCTCTCGCCGGGTGGATGAGTCATATAATAATTCTACTATCCAGGAAACTGATAATTTTAATACTATGCAATGGCACAACTACCACGGTCGCAGAGGTCCTATCTGCGACTGAGCCCGTCGCTCCAGGGGGCCCGGCCGCCCTGCCGCCCTGCCGACTCCTGTGACCAGGGTGCCTGCCGGCATTGTTAGTGTGGGCAGAGCAACCACCGGGGCCGCAATGAAGGGACCCATCGGGTGGCCCATGCTCTTTTGCCACCCGATGGCAATGACTTTCCTGGGGCCCGGTCAGCACTGCAGCACTTAAAAAGAGAGCGACCCAGTGATGGCGTCAGAGCACTGGGAGGATGCGTCACTTCCTCCCAGCAAACAGAGCCATTTGGGAGCAGAGCGCAGGGGGAGAAGATGAGGGAGTCAGAGTAGGAGTTCTGACTCCCATCAATATTAGGCAGCCACTGGACCCCAAGGAATTCACCCTGCTTCACCTAAACTTTGGAAGCAGGTGAGTGACTAAAATGTTTTATCTGTATATCTGTGTATCTGTATGTTTGTCTGTGTGTGTGTGTGTGTCTGTATGTGTGTGTCTGTGTCTGTCTGTGTGTGTGTCTGCCCATGTGTGTGTCTGTATATGTGTGTGTTGTGAATGTGTGTGTGAATGTCAGTATGTGTCAGTACAGTGTCAGCCTCTGTATATATGTGTGTCTGTATGTGTATCTGTGTCTGCATGTGTGTCTGTATATGTATCTGTCTGCCTGTGTGACAGTGTGTTTGTATATGTATGTGTGTCACTGTATCTGTATGTGTGTCATTCTGTGTATGTTTATCTGCATGTGTCTATATGTGTATCTGCCTATATGTGTGTCTGTGTATCCGCATGTGAGTCAGTGAGTGTTTGTATATCTGTGTGTCAGTGTTTGTGTCTGTAGAAGTGTCATTCTGTGTATCTGAATGTGTGTCATTCTGTGTGTCTGTGTATTAGCTTGTGTGTCTGTGTATTAGCTTGTGTGTCTGTGTATGTATCTTAGTTCCATAGTTACATAGTTACATAGATGAAAAGAAACTTGCGTCCATCAAGTTCAGCCTTCCTCACATTTGTTTTTTGCTGTTGATCCAAAAGAAGGCAACAAAAACCCAGTTTGAAGCACTTCCAATTTTGCAACAAGCTAGGAATAAAAATTCCTTCTTGACCCCAGAATGGCAGTCAGATTTATCCTTGGATCAAGCAGTTATTACCCTACATTGAAAGATTATTTCCTTGAATATTCTGTTTTTGCAAGTTTGCATTTAGTAGCTGTTTGAACATCTGTATGGACTCTGATAAAACCACTTCTTCAGGCAGAGAATTCCACAGCCTTATTGTTCTTACAGTAAAAAAACCTTTCCTTTGCCTTAGACGAAATCTTCTTTCTTCCAGTCTAAACGCATGGCCTCGTGTCCTATGTAAAGTCCGGTTTGTGAATAGATTTCCACACAATGGTTTGTATTGGCCCCGAATATGTTTGTATAATGTTATCATATACCCTCTCAGGCAACATTTTTCAAAACTAAAGAGGTTTAAATTTGTTAACCTTTCTTCATAGCTGATATGTTCCATTCCATTTATTAATTTTGTAGCCCGCCTCTGCACTTTTTCTAGTGCCATAATATCCTTCTTTAGAACAGGTGCCCAAAATTGCACAGCATATTCAATACGTGGTCTTACCAGTGATGTATAAAGAGGCAAAATGATATTCTCATCCCGGGAATGAATGCCCTTTTTATGCATGACAATGCCTTACTGGCCTTAGCCACTGCTGATTGACATTGCACATTGTTGCATAGTTTGTTGTCTATAACAATTCCCAAGTCCTTTTCGTGTGTTGTTATCTCTAATTTGCTTCCATTAAGAATATACTTTGCTTGTGCATTCTTTATGCCGAAGTTCATAACTTTGCATTTTTCAATGTTAAATGTTAAATTTCATCTGCTATTTGGGTGCCCAGTCCCCCAGTTTATCTAAATCCCTGTGCAGCAAGGTAATATCTTGCTCACATTGTATTACTTGACAGAGTTTTGTGTCATCTGCAAACACTGAAACACGACTTTCAATGCTTTTTTCAAGATCATTTATAAACATGTTAAATAGAAGGGGTCCCAGAACAGAACCCTGAGCAACACCACTTGCAACCTCTGTCCAGCTTGAAAATTTACCATTAATGACAACTCTTTGTACTCTGTTTTTAAGCCAATGTTCTACCCAAGAACAAGCATTTTCATCTAGACCGATTGCCTTGAGTTTGAACACTAATCTATTGTGTGGAACTGTATCAAATGCCTTGGTAAAATCCAAATAGATCACATCCACTGCAACATCCTGATCTATACTTCTACTTCATAAAACCATGCTGATTTTTGCTGATAAGCATGTTCTTCTCAAGTAATTCTTCAATATTATCCCTTAACCTTTCAAATATTTTCCCAGCCACAGAAGTATGTTATGTTATACAAATGGAGGGGGGGCCAGGGCAATTTTCGCCCCGGGCCCTGTGGTTTCTAGTTACACCTCTGATAGTATGGATATATCTTACAGTACTTCAGATGTTTACTCTTTCTGGTAAAGATGGGGAAACTGGCACTGAATGACTGGATTCTAATGGCTACACCCTATTTGATGCAGTGAAGATAAAACACCCATGTTCTTTGGTATGGGTATCTTTAACTCATGCTTCTAAATGTATCTTTTACTAATCATGAGCTGAATTCCCTAGACTATATTTGCCAAAAAAGGAACTTGACACTATTATCATACAATATCTGACAAAGAGATTGTGCAATTTCCAGATGCTGGGATCGTGGATATGTCTGGAATTCCAATTTGCCCCTACATTGGATAGGCCCAGTGAGTATTCCACTATCAGCGCATTTCCCACATTGAGTCAAAGGTGCCAACATGTTTTTGATCATTCTGCCATATCTTTGGATTTGCTGCCACCCAGCCAATTGATATTCTGGACCACATCAATGTTATCCATGCACATACTTTTGGCAAGGAAGGATTCTGCCAATAATTCGAGACGATTTATGTGAAGATCTGATTCCTGTTGGGATCATTTTTCTCCTCAAGTAATATCTCCATATTGAGCTCCTCAATCGTCCAGACTGGGTCTGATTCTATGATGATATATAGAGCCATCCGAAATATTTACTTCCTGTTCCATGCTTCAATGTGTTTCAACCACCAGATTAGTTCTTCTCGTGCATTCATAGATAAGGGAATTTTGTCTTAATATGTCAGACCTTGTTGTAGTAAGTGCTTCATTTTCAATCTCTGAAGTTTTCAGTAGTTAGAAAGAGCAGGGGAAATGGCTTGAATTGATGCAGACAGAAGTCCCACTATATGAGCCAAAAGTCAGATAGATATAGACGCCTTCCTTAAAACTGTCCTTATTTATTTTTGAATTAATATTAATTTCTTTAGGGGTAGATTAAGAAATTGTAGATTACTATTATTATTATTATATTTATGTAGTGCCAACAAATGCCGCAGCGCTTTACTATGGACTAACAAACATGTAATTGTAACCAGACAAGTTGGACACACAGGAACAAAGGGGTTGAGGGCCCTGCTCAATGAACTTACATGCAAGAGGGAGTGGGTAAGGGAAGTATAGGGAAGTAGATTAATTGAATTGTATTCACTAAACACTTAGTGTGTTTTGTTTTTGTTTTTTAATGACAGTTGCAGGAGATGAATCAGTTGGGAGCCATTATCTGATATGCTTTTGTGAAAAAGTAAGTTTTTAATGATTTTTTTGAAGGAGTGGAGACTGGGTGAGCATCTAATGGAAAAGGAAAGGGAGTTCCACAGGAACGGTGCAGCCCTGGAGAAGTCTTGAATGCCAGCATCAGAGGTGGAAGTACGAACAGAGGATAGAGGTAGGTCTTCCCAGAGCGTAGGGGCCTAGACGGGTCACACTTGTGAAGTAGGGAGGATAGATGTAGAGATTTGAAAGCAAGAACCAGAATTTTATATTGAGCCCTATATCTTAAGGGAAGCCAGTGCAGGAATTGTAGATTGGAATCTATCACAAAACCTAGAAATGACATGATTTGGGCATTAAGTAGAACTAGAAACATGTTGCTGATATATAAAGGAAGGTGTAAAGGAACTTCTTGAATTGTTCCTTTGGTTAACAGTAGTTGAAACTAGACATGTGCAATTCGTTGCGGTCCGAATGTGAATTCGGACGGATTTCGGGCAATTCAGACATTCGGGTACTTCCGAATGTCCAAATAGCCGAAGTGTCGAATTGCCGAGGTCCCAAAGTTCCGAAATTACCAAAGTGCCGAAGTGCTGAAGTTACGAAGCACAGTATTGCCTAAGTACTAATATACTTACCCAGTGGAAGAAGAAGAATGTTACACCGTATACAATTTTAAATAAAAAGTATACAAACATAGCCAGGATTCAGCTGTAAGCATTTGCAACACTTACAACAATCAAGTAACACACATTCATATAAAATGTAAGTTACTTGGCCAGTCAATGGAATGACAGGAATGAATAAGTAGATAACTCCCTAATTCCCACGGTGTTAGGGAGCTATCTACTAAAAGGCTGAAAGATTACTTAGTATTAGTAAATTATGCCCCTACTCGTATACCGTGAGTAGGGGCATGTCTATTAAACAGTGAGCAGTCTATGGCTGATCACTGTAAAAAAACAAACAAAAAAAAAACACGTCCCCCCTCCCAAGCCCCCACCCGTGCCACGCTAGAGGGGGCTTCTAACCTGAAGGGGGGCTTATTGCCCCTCCCGGCCCCCATCCCTGAGCGGCGGGTGGGGACCCTAAATTAGAATAAGGCGGGGACCTATTGTCCCCCAGCTCCCACCCCTGAGCGGTGGGTGGGGGCCCTAAATTAGAATGAGGGTGGGGACCCCACCCCAGAGTGGTGGGTGGGGGCCTAAATACTAGTTAAGGGGGGACCTAATGTCCTCCCTCCTGGCCCCCACCCCTGAGTGGTGGGTGGGGCCCCTAAATTAGAATGAGGGAGGACCTAATTTCCTCCCTACTGGCCCCCACCCCTGAGCGTCGGGTTGGGGCCCTAAATTAGAATAAGGAGGGGACCTATTGCCCCCCTCAACCCCCACCCCTGAGTGGTAGGTGGGGGCCCTAAATGCTAATTGGGGGGGACCTAATGTCCTCCCCCTTGCACCCACCCCTGAGTGGTGGGTGGGGGACCTAAATTAGAATGAGGGGGGACCTAATGTCCTCCCCCCTGGCCCCCACCCCTGAGCGGCGGGTTGGGGCCCTAAATAAAAAATGAACCCCTCCTCCCCTAGGTGACTAAAAGCCTCCACTTGCACGTTACGGGTGGGGGCTCGGGAGGGGGGACCCTTTTTAAAAAAAAAATATATATTTTTTAACAGTGAGCAGCCACAGGCTGCTCACTGTTTACTAGACATGCCCCTACTCGCGGTGTAGCGAGTAGGGGCATAATTTACTAATACTAAGTAATGTTTACCAATTTAGGTCTTTCAGCCTTTTGGTAGATAACTCCCTAATACCGTGGGAATTATGGAGTTATCTACAAAGCGGCTGCAAGAGAAGTTCTGAAGTGTCGAAGTTGCTGAAGTTCCGAAGTTGACGAAGTTCCGAAATGTTGAAGTACCGAAGTTGCCGAAGTGTTGAAGTGCCGAATTGCCACAGTGCCGAATTGCTGAAATCCCGAATTTCGGAATGCCGAACTAAAATTTTTTCCCATGCACATGCCTAGTTGAAACTCTCAATAGATGAGATTCTGATCTGGAATGGAATGGAGAAAACAAAAGGCATTTTATACCTGAATAATTCATTTGTAAAAATCCATTTTGTATGCTTGAACCGTGTTGAGAATCCCTAGACTGACATCAGTAGAGACCAGTTGTGACAAATATGGGTGAGTCTACCACCCAGCTATGTAGGAGAAAAAAATAAAAAGAATTGTACTTACAAGAGAAGGGTCTTGATTTCCTACAACCTCAGGACCTCCATGATCTCCCCCTGTGGGGTGATCATGAAAGGAAAAAGGAGGAATAAAGGAATCTTGTTTGGCATATTCCGAGGGTTGTTGACTTGGGTAAAACTGAGAGAGGCCTCTACTACTCTGTCTGCCTTGGAACTTACAATCTCTCCCAGCCCCAGCAAGACTGCAGCATCCTCCATAGATAAAGCCTATTTCCCCAGTGGCGGCTGTAAATAAACAGAGACAAAATAGTCTGCACATTATCAAAGTATATCGCTTAATTGGGTTGGAGTTTCAGTGAAATTACTACACAGTCAGTATGAGTATTTCATAAAGATCCTATTCTTATGAAATACTCATTTTGCAAGGGTGGGGTGTGACAGTGCCACTTTAAGAGAAAAGGGAAGTATTATTCCACCACTTTACTTATATATATATACACCCACTGTATGTGTTATTTTCTAATAAGTTTCTTGTTATCTTTGTTGTTATTTTCTTTCAGCATAACTGGATGACTTTTTGTGACCAGGATTTGCTTCTCGTCTGTTCTACACAATTGTCTTCTACTAGAATTATCGTCTTCATATTGGATCCAATTCCAAATTCTTCCTTCAGTTTTTATAATTTGTGTCTCATTCAAATAAAGAGGACTATGCTCACCTCTGATTGGTCACTGGTTTATACCTATACTGACAGGTTTACCTTTACACCTGCTATTTGAGTAGTAAAGAAAGATTAAACATAAAACTTGCAACCTGTCTTAAATGAAAGTGTAGCAGAGCTGCAATATTAAATCCCAAGATCTCCGCTGGTACAGAAGGTAATTCAAAGTAAAGCGTTGGAAAGTAAGGCAATATCCCAAATTCCCCAGTAACCGGACGAAACACAGTTCTGGGAGTCAACTGAACTTTTATTCACAGGTCAGAGTATTTATGCAAGTCCCCATGCAAGGGGTTTCCATACTGACATTCCAGGGGTTGTACAGTAGGGGACTACATGGGGAACTTAACAACCCAGACATTTCTCCCATCATGCACTGCTGCACGGAAGGGATACTCCCACTGGAATATCCAGTTAAGTTGATTATCCTTCCGTGCAGCTGGACTAACATTTTACACAAAAGTACATAACTTGTACATTATTTATCTTATATTACCGAACAACCGTTCGGTAGATAGCTGGGGTCTGAGCGCACCTTTCGTGAAAGTACCGCTCAGACCCCAGCATAAATAACTGAACGCTGCACAAAATACACTTTTACATCATATTCGCCTAAAAGTACTGAACACCGATTGGGAAACACATTATTAAAAGACCGGAGCTCCCGAATGGCCTGGAAGCCCAGCGGTGTTCGTGCCGTCGAGTAGCCGATTTTAGTTCCAGGCGCTCGACGACCAAACATCGCTCGGTGACAAAGAATCCAAGATGGCCGACCGCCGCGTGGGCTTTTGTTCGGTACTTTATTCGTTTCACGAACAGCATGTAAAGTCACTGTTCATGAACCGAACATATGAATGCTAGCGGCTTTTGGCCGCTAGCATACAAATGCTCTATAGTACAACATTACAGGCATACATTTGAACACAGAAGTCCAGCGGCTTTTACAGACAACCTTTAAAGGTACAACAATATGATCTAAAGTGGCTAGGTTTGCCACAGAAAGCTATTGAATTAGATATCCAAAACTTTATGATAAGTGATTGATAGACCCCTCCCCACCTCCACCTTGAAATGGTTGCAAAACTTATTTAACACTTACCTCTTTCAAGTCCCCAGTTTCCTCAACGTTAGCTCCTTCAACTTCGGCAATTTGAAGAGAGAATGTGCGACTAGTGTAACGCATGCATTAGGCCTTCACCATAAGAAAGCATTAAGTCAATGCTTTCCCATGGAGGATTTGAAGACTGTAGTGGAGCTTCCTGTACCCCGGTTGGGTACCTCTACCGACGGATGCTCCTAGTGCTCATGAGGACTCCAAGCACTCCACCAGACACCATCAGCACCGCAGTCCCCACGTCCAGCGTTACCGCTTAGCTGGGAACTTGCCGTCTCCTACCCACACTGTACCTATGACAAAGGCTCCAGGTTCCAGTGGGTGAACCTCTCCTCCAAGAGAGAGTAGCAGGAACAAGATCTTAAAAGGGCTTAGTGATTATAGCCCAGGGGAGTATACAGAGTATAGCAATTCCCCAGTGTAGATGCAACTTTTTCCCCCACACATGAGACAAGGCTCTTTGTTGAGGGTAAAACAGGAACTCTTTAATGCAAAGCCAGCACTTACAATTTATACACACTTTTAAACCCCCAACAGCCTCATTTAAATACAATAGGTTACATAGAGCACTATAGTACAAGGAAGGGTGGGGTCAGATAATAGCAAGGGCTGATGGGAGATTGAGGAGGGACAAAGCAGCCAGTTTAAACTGGTCTGGCAGTGTCCCTGGGACAACGCCCTGCTGGGGAAACAATAGGACATGAAAAAGGAGGTGGGGAAGAGGCACATTTTCACATGGAAGTCACTTTTTAAAATGTCTTTTTGCAGGGCCCATAGTCTTTGGGCAGGAGGCTGGCAAACATGCCCCTCCAAAAACCAGTGGCGAGGTAATTTTCACCACAAATACTCTGGATATCCTCATGCAAAGCGTGAGTACGTCCAGCGTCATTCCAGTCCGTGAGATTACAGGAAGCGTCTCTAGTGTCTGTTTTGCAGACAGTCACTAGAGGAAGACTTAACCCTTTAACGTTTTACTTTCCAGGGTTAAGGGGACTGGGACACTGCATCAGTTAGATGAAGTGGTCTGAGTTCCTATACTGTCCCTTAAATAAAATTGTGACTTTACAACACTAAAGGCAGAAACATCTAGAATTATGACACTTTACATAGTTGTACGTAATTTTACCTCATTTGGTTTTTATGTATCTCTGAATGTCATTACTCCTGTTAATATCACAGCAATCCAACGCACTTAGTATAGACCGGAACACACATAGTGTAGAACTGAAGTCCATCGTGTAATACCGTAGTGTGGCCAGGCTTCACCAATACAAATCATAGTCAAGGGATAACTAGGATCTAGGGACCTGGAATAAAACAATATAGCTAAGTTTAATCTGCTGAACTATGACAGATCCAGTTAAATTATATTCCATGATAACAACCAATAACAAGGTACACTCTAGAGAAAAAGAACCTCCAGTTGTCACTGGGTCTTCGGTGAAGGGAGTTTACATACTGGTGAACTCTCTAATGTGACCTTGCTCATTATGCTTCACTAAACATTGAGTGCATTCACGCACAGAACACCTGAACAGCCTTTACCTGGCATGAAGCTTGTATTAAATCCACACTTGCTGTATTAACCCATAACCAACATAGGTGTGGTCCTTATAGTGCAGAGGTGGGATTGTGAGTGACCTGCATCACAGACACCACCTAAACGTATGATTAAATTGGAAAGCAGAGGTCTGTTCAAAAAATGTCAGCTTGGCTAATCATGCAGGCTAGCCCCACTAAGGGAGGACCATGCACAGAACGCCCACCACATACATGATCCTAGTGCTCTTAGTACAAACAATAACTTTATGATACATTTTTTAAGGACAGTCCCTCAATGTCCCAAGAAGCTGGACACCAGGAAACAAACCCAGGAAGACAGGAAAATAGGACAGTACTAAAAACCTATAGTTTAGAGGTCTTCACACCTGCTGTATTAACCCCACACCTGCTGTACGAACCCCACACCTGCTGTACGAACCCCACACCTGCTGTATTAACCCCACACCTGCTGTACGAACCCCACACCTACTGTATTAACCCCACACCTGCTGTATTAACCTCACACTATGCTGTATTAACCCCACACCTGCTGTATTAACCCCACTAGTGAAAAAAAGAAAAAAACAAAGGTACAAGGCAGTATAAATCACCAAAAGTGACACAGAATAATAAATATATACCAACTGGGTATGTGGAAATATTCTGTTGTGGAATATATCTGAAAATATATAAAAACTATATAGTGTGATATTGTTATGTCCAAAATAGGAGTATAAATAGTAGAGAACTCACAAAATTAGATGAAATCAGGCGTATCTCCCAAAATAGGGAACTGTAGCAATCTGGAAGACCTCCAGCGATGATCTTATAGTAGATTTTTTCATTCACTCCAAGTAAAAAGAAAATAGATAGTGTAGATGGTACAAAATATAACAATTTATTATAAATAAGTTGCACTTACAATGTTGCAAGTTAAAACCAGCGTGTCTCCACTCCAGGTGGTGTTCACATGCAATAACTGATCCAATGGCAGCCCAGGATATAGGACAGCAGCAAAGAATGGAGAGTACAAATGAACAATAAAATAAATGAATAAAAAGTAGAATAAAAAGTTCCAACGCGTTTCGTCCGTCTAGGGACTTCCTCAGGGATATGTGATGCTGATAGGAAGAAGAGTCCTCCTGAATTAACCCCACACCTACTGTATTAACCCTACACCTACTGTATTAACCTTACATCTGCTGTATTAACCCAACACCTGATGAATTAACCCCACACCTACTGTATTAACCCTACATCTGTTGTATTAACCTTACATCTGCTGTATTAACCCAACACCTGATGAATTAACCCTATACCTTCTGTATTAAGCCAACACCTTTTATATTAACCCCACACCTGCTGTATTAACCCCACATCTACTGTATTAACCCCACACCTGCTGTATTAACCCCACACCTACTGTATTAACCCAACACCTTTTATATTAACCCAAAACCTTCTGTATTAACCCAACACCTTGCAGCACTCTGTAGCGGTTATAACTGCACAGAGTGTTCCACTGTATAATATGTAACTACTCATACCACTCATGGTGTGTGTTGCATCATGAGATCAGGCCCCATATTTTAGTCCACATACATCAGGCCACAGAAATGTGTTCAGCACTTTTAAACAATGTTCTATGTGCCTGCAGGTCATTGTCTTAGAACAGCAGGGACACCGTGTGCAGGGCATCACTGTCATTGAGCTACGTAATGACATAGGATGCTAGACAAATCTAATACAGCGGGGATTCCCTACTAAAATATTCTTATGGCATGAAAACCAACGTTATATCGTACACACAGTAGAAGATGGCCACAAATGGTTAGAAGCACACCAAGACAAAATAGAAAGAAAGCTCCAAGAATGAAAATAAATATATATATATATATATATATATATATATAAATATATATATTTTTCCTCTCTTTTTTTGGGGGGTGGGGGAGGAGGGTAGTGGGTGGTTCTGGTTGAGTAGACTCGAGTATTCATCTCATTCAGCTAAGGGGTTAATGCCTCGAGTATTGGCACCTTCATCCTAGTTGGTGTTTCTCCTTGGGGACTTCTTCTGTCCTGCATCTCATATCTTCCTTAGATCTCATGTCTGAGAATCAAATACCCTACTGCCTAGTAGCATAATATCTGAAAGTTTTGTAGTCTGGTGGTCAAATAGTTTAATGATTCAGTGGTCTAGTAGTGTGTCTATGTGTGTGTGGAGAATTAAGGTTTTGGGTTTGGGCTCCCATCAATCTGGTGCAAGGGTCTTAAGGTAGTCCTCCCAATGCTCCTGTGCCTCTAAGATATGTTTCCTGGGAG